CTATTTATTTACAGTCTATTTTCATTTTTTATATTATTTTTTCTATATTCTTCTATTTTCTATTTGTTCGATTTTCATTTTTCTAATTTCTTGTATTTTCTCAAATTTTCTAATTTTTTTTCTAGTTTCTTCTATTCTCCAATTTTCTTCTCTTTTTTTTTTCTATTTTCTTTTTTTTCCCATTTTTCTATGCTTTTTCAATTTTCTTTTTTTCAATTTCTATTTTTTCAATTTTCTGTTTTCTTTTTTCTAAGGTTTTTCTATTTTCTTTTTTTTCTGATTTTCTTCTATTTTCTCTCTCTTTTATGTTCTATTTTCTGTCTTTCTGTCCTTTCGTTTCCTCTCTTCTCTCTCCTCCTCTCCTGCCCAACTGCCGCCATTTTACCAAAAAGTCCTTTTTTCCCCCCAGATGGGGCCACTGCGAAGAAAAACTTTTCTTTCCCTGCCGACTCCATCTTCACTCTTCAGTTTTCCTGCTCTTCCCTCAAAATTGGCTCCTCTCAATCCATCCTGAGCCTGAAAATGCCGCATTTCACCCCAAACCGGCCGCCCCCGCCTGCGCTGCCCGGCCCGGCCCCACTTGGGGACAAAACTACATTTTAAAAAAGCTTTAGGAGCTTTTTTTAAAAAAAATTAAATTTATGAGCTTTTTTAGCAGAAAACAGCGTATCAAGCGCTTTTTCTTTCTTTAAATTAAAGAAGCTTAAAAAGCTCTTTTTAAATTAAAATCGCCCCAGCTCGCTCCGGCTTTTTGAAAATATCACATTAAGATATTTTAAGAATTAAAGAGCTGCGAGAGCTGCCTCTTCTCCCAGAAATCGGCTTTGAAAGCAGCGATTTCTTTAAAACCAGCATTAGAAGCTTCGGTTTAAATGAAAACCAGCTTTAAGAGCTTTTTTAAGGTTTTTCATTCATTTTTTTCAATTAAAAGTGCCCCGGCTCGCCTCGGCTTTTCCCATTACTGGAATCGCCGCAATTTAAGGATTTATATTGAAAGAAAGCAGCTTTAAAAGCTCAGATTTCCTTAAAGGAAACAGCTTTTGTCTCTTTTCTTTAAATAAATATTTAAGAGCCGCTTTTGTGAAATAAAGCAGTCTTGGGAGCTCTTTCTATAAAATATCGCAGCTTGAAGAGCTTTTCGTAGGCAATAAAGCCATTTTTTGAGCTCTCGGTAGGAAATAAAGCCATTTTAGGAGCTTTTTTTGTATAAAATGGAGCAGCTCTAAGCGCTTTTGGGCCGAATTGGGGCCGTTTCGGGGCTGCTTCTCGGCCGGGCGCTGCCGGCGCGGGGCCCTGCCTTATAAACGGCCCGGCGCCGCCCCCGCGGGGGCGACAAAATAGTCCCTAAAATCACCAAAAAAGGGCAGCAACCCCCAAAATCCCCGCACCCAATCCACCACCCGCAGTGTGAAAAAGCTCATTTTTTCATGATTTCACTTTTTTTACCCCTTTCTTTGATTTTTTCCCCTCACAAACCGCGCCACCCCCTCCCCCCGCGGCCGTGGGCCTTCGGCCGCCCCACGCGGTCCAGCACAAAAACGGTTAAATCGAACGGCGATTTTTCGTTTGGTTTGGCCAATTCTGCCCTAAAATCCCTCGCTTCGACCTTCCCGGGTGATTCTGGAGGTTTTTTGGTTTTTAGTCATTCATTTTACTCTGGTTTTTGCTTTTGCTGCGTCACGGGGCTGGGCCGCTGCCAAAAAGGCGCCGTTTCTCCTCAAAAGGGTCACAAATATTGGGGGGAAAAAAAAGTTCTTGAGGGAACACAGACCCAAAGCCCAATTTTCACCAGTTTTTGTTCCCCAAAAAGCCCAAACAACACTTTTTAAACCCCTTTTCCCACCCTGATATAGCACAGCCCTAACCACTATTTTAATTTCCTTTTTTACGACAGAAATGCATCAAAATCTCCGTGTTTCACCCCATTTCAGGCCATGCTGAGTCATGGAAGTCCCTGTTTTCAATAAGGAGAATTAAACCCCACTATTCTGAGGCATTTTAAGGCACTTTTTTGGCATTTTGAGGCGTTTCCGGGCAGGAAATGACACCCCAAAAGTGCTGGCACAGGGAGGGGACAACCCTCCCCCCCAACCTTTTAATTATCATTCATTAAAGCTGCTCTGGGGCTAATTAAAGGTGCTGATGAAAGCGATGAGGCATTTTGGGGGTGTGGGAGGAGCTGTTCCGACATTTTTGGGGCGTTTCCTGTGGGAGAAAAATTTCCTTATTGTTATCAATTATTTTCTGGGTATTTCCACCATTAAGGCTCTCAAATGTAATATTTTATCCCCATTTCAGGTGCTGGAAAAGGCCTTCCCTAAAAATGCACTGATTTTAGGGAAGGTTTATCTCAATGGTAATTTTTACAACAATAATTCATCCATTTGCAGCTGGTTTAAGCCCTAATTTAAACTTTTAAATCATTTTAGCAACTCTGACATGTCCAAAGTTCACGTTTTCTGCATGAAAATACCCCAAAGGCTGCTTTTTCCTCAGGAGCTGAGCCTGGAGAGGCCATTTTAAAATATTTTCCCCTGGAAAGATGCTCTTCACGAAATCTTGAGTGTTTCTTAGGAAAAAAATAGAATAAAAAAATCAGTTTTAGATTTTTTTTAAAGCTAGGATAGCACTAAAGCTTCTCAAGAGCCTCAACAGCACTTTAAGGTGAGTTTAAGCCATTTTTGGGGCACAGGACACAGGTTTTGCCCTCAAAAATCACCACTAAGCCAAACCCTGCGGAGTTTCCTATGGAGATGCTGTTTACCAAATCTTGGGTGTTTCTTAGGGAAAAAATAGAATAAAAAATCAGTTTTAGATTTTTTTTTAAGCTAGGATAGCACTAAAGCTTCTCAAGAGCCTCAACAGCACTTTAAGGTGAGTTTAAGCCATTTTTGGGGCACAGGACACAGGTTTTGCCCTCAAAAATCACCACTAAGCCAAACCCTGCAGCTTTTCAGCTGCTTTTTAAGCCCAAATGGCCGCTTTTAAACCCGAAGTGGGAGGCGGCCCCTCCAGTCTCTCTTGCCCCCTTTCTTAATGGGTTTTTGAGGCAAAACCAACTCAATTCTTCACTCTAAACCCACCACTTCCTTAAGGCTTCCCAGCGTTTTAAAACCCGACACTTTTCAGCGACTTTTCACACAAAAATTACCTCACGAAAAGGGGCGCGAGCAGGGGGGAAACTTCATCGCGTCCCCTCCGCCGCGGGGCCCCCTCAGACCGCCGCTAAATGGGCACAGACCCCCTCCCCCACCTCGCTCCCCTCCCCCACAGCCCCGACTTTCATTCCGCCCCTCCCCCACGCCCATTTACAAGCAAAAAAAAAGAGATTTGGGGGCGGGAGCGGCGGCGGAAGGATCCGGCGGAGGGATCCGAGGTGAGTGGGACGTGGCCATGTGAGGCGCGGAGGGATCCGCGCGCGGAGGGATCTGAGAGTGAGGCGCCCTGGGCGGGTCCGCGCGGAGACCCCGCCCCTCACCAGGGCCCTCCCTTGGTTTTGCCGCAGTCGCCGCGGGGGCGGCGCCGGGGGCGGGGGCGCGGCGCCATCGCTCCGTGCGCTCCGCATTGGGCGGGGGAAGCGCCGAGTCACCTCCGCCGCGTCCGGAGAGACTGAACAGTTAAAAAAAAAATCACCCTTTTCTCCTTGGTTTTACCTCAGAAAAGCCCCAGTTCCTTCAGGAAAATGTCTTTTGCCTCAGAAATGACCGACTTCCGTCAGAAAATGACCGATATCCCTGAGAAAATGTCTGGTTTCCCTCAGGAAGGTCTGATTTTACTTCATCAATGTCTCATTTCCCTGTGAGGTGTCTGGTTTGTCTCAAAAATGTTTGATTTCCCTCAAGAAGTGTACGATTTGCCTCAGAAATGTCCTATTTGCACAGAAAATGTCTTTTCTTTCCCTCAGAAACGTCAGATTTGTATCAAAAATGCTTCATTTAGCTCAGAAAGTTCCCCATTTGCCTCAAAAATGTCTTATTTCCCTCAGAAGTGTCAAGTTTTACTTCAGAAACGTCTTATTTCCCTCAGAAAATATCATTTTATTCGGCCATAACCCGCCCCCCCCCCCCCAAAATGGCGCCTCCCCACAGGAACAGTGAGGCGGGGGGGCGGGAACCCGTGTCCTTCACAATTTCCCTCAGGTAACATTTATTCCAAAACATTTCTTTATCCTATCAAATACTTATATTTTCTTCATTTTTTTAGTTTGTAAATGTTGGATTTCAGAGCAGTTCCCCCGTGCTCTGAAGGCCCTGATAACACCGACCCCTCCCACAGCACAAAACTCTCACCAGTTCTCCCTTAAAAAAATCCCGAAATTTCTAAAAAGCACCTTAAGAAAATGAAGTTATTCGGGACTGAGGTGGTTTTGCCGCAGAGTGGAGGCGTGCAGGATTTATGGGCAGAAAATGTGATATTTTGGATAAATGCAGCCCTGCTGGGTGGGAAAAGGGAGGAAAATGGGGTTAAATATTGAAATAGGGGGATTTTGGGTGGGTGTGTGAAGGTCCCAAATGGACAACGAGCGATGCCCCAAAATCAGCAGGACTTGCCCCAAAAATGGTGGAATTTGTCCCAAAGGTCTCATTAGCGCTAATGAGAGGGAGAAGCCTTCCCAACACAGAAGCCCCTGACACAGGTGACACGTGTGACAAAGGTGACACGCGTGTGTCCCTACATCCCCAGCCCGAAATGGCCACTGTCACGTGGGGCCGCCATTTGGCTACGTCGGCCACAAACCCCCCAGAATTGGCCCCAAACCTCCTAGAACTGGCCCCAAACTGCTGTGGCTTGTCCCAAACCCCCTTAACGGACCCCAAGCCGCCTGGAATAGGCCCCAAACCCCCCAGAACTGGCCCCAAAATGTCTTGACTCCACTGAAAGTGGCCTCAGACCCCCAGGAACTGGCTGGAAAATGCCTTGCATGATCCAAAATCAGCCGCAAATATCCCAAACTAGCTCAAAACTGCCAGGAATTAGCCCCGAACACCCCAAATGAGCCGCAAACCACCCTGAATCAGCTTTGATCTGCCTCAAACCACCCAGAATCATCCCCAAACTGGTACCAAACTACCTCAAACTGCTCTGGATTAACCCCAAATCGACCCAGATTCGCCCCGAATTCCACCAAACCCTGCCTGGGGAGAGGGGCCGGGGGGGCAGTGCAGTTTATTGGGGGGCGTGGGTACAAACAGGGGGCTCCCAGTGCTCCCAGTCTGAACTGGGAGGGGTTTGGGGGGCTCGGGGGGGCTCAGCCCTGCTCGGAGCCGCCCCCCCCTGTGCCCCCCTGTGCCACGGGGCTGTAGGAGCCCCCCACCCGGCTGAAGAAGGACGCCGAGCGCCGGGGGGGCTTCACCCGCCGCAGCTCCTGCCCTGGGGGGACATTGGGGTGGCATTTAGGGCAGGAAACGCCTCGAGGTCCCCCGTGCCCCCCCCGAGTGTCCCAATTCCCGCCATGTTCCCCCAGACCACCCCCTACCCCCTGTCCCCTGCTTGTCATATCCCCCCCAAGGTCCCTGTCCCCCCCACCACGTCCTGTGTCCCCGCTGTCCCCGTGTCCCGCTGTCCCCATGTCCCTGATGTCCCCGCTGTCCCCATGTCCCCGATGTCCCCCATGTCCCCGCTGTCCCCATGTCCCTGATGTCCCGGTTGTCCCCCATGTCCCCGTGGTCCCAGATGTCCCGGATGCCCCAGTTGTACCCATGTCCCCCCTGTCCCCGATGTCCCCGATTGTCCCCCATGTCCCCGCTGTCCCCGTGTCCCTGATGTCCCTGATGTCCCAGATGTCCCCGCTGTTCCCCATGTCCCCGATGTCCCCGCTGTCCCCGGTTGTCCCCCATGTCCCCGCTGTCCCCATGTCCCTGATGTCCCGGATGTCCCGGTTGTCCCCCATGTCCCCGATGTCCCAGATATCCCCGCTGTCCCCATGTCCCCGATGTCCCGATTGTCCCCCATGTCCCCGCTGTCCCCATGTCCCCGATGTCCCGGTTGTCCCCCATGTCCCCGCTGTCCCAGATGTCCCCGCTGTCCCCGATGTCCCGGTTGTCCCCCATGTCCCGCTGTCCCCGTGTGCCGCTGTCGCCTGTCGCACCCTCCCGCACGTAGTCGATGGTCGCGAGGCGCTGCAGGCGGGGCCGGGTCACGCTCTCCTGCCGCCGCAAGGGGGCGCCACGCGCGCCGGCCGCCTCGGGGGGCGGGGCCGCGGCGCCGGCG